ACGGCCTAAGAAAATGTTTTCATTGAACAGCAACTCGCAATCTTTGATATTTTGTGAATACCTAATATCTGTTCTACAAGAAAAGACGCTGAAATATGACCACTGATTTCAAGCTCCATGTTTTTTGACCATGCTCATGAATATAGGTTGTCACACCCACAGTGTTTTTTGGACGGCCAGTTTTGACACTCTGGCTAAAAGCCTGCACAAAGGGCCAGCAATCAATCACTCAAAATATAGCCACTTTCCTCCGCAGAGGCTTTATATGTCGCTTTATTTACATCTGCAAAATGTAAGACATTCAGGTTATTGGCAAATGCGTGCAGGGGAGCACATAATGCCTCTGCTGAGGAGCAAATATATGCCTCTGTGGAGAAGAGTGCCTGCAAGCACTAACAGCAAGCAGTCCAAGCAGGCTACTCAAAATCTGGGCACAAAAAAGACACATTCCAATGTACAGTAGCTCACTATTCTTACAGTAGCTCACTATTCTCACAAAAATACAATACTATTGTAGTGAATACTAATATTCTAATTTATATATATATATATATATATATATATATATATATATATATATATATATATATATATATATATATATATATATATATATATATATATATATATATATATATATATATATATATATATATATATATATATATATATATATATGGTGTACTGTACCTCACAGGTATTACATGTCACCAACCTTTCCTTCATTTCGGTGGCTTCGGTGGCCAAGTGGTTAGCACACTTGCCTTTCACCTCTGAGGCCGCAGGTTCAAGCCTCAGTGAGAACTTTCTCAATGTGACTCAAACCCAGTCCTCGTGTGAAAAGAGTAAAAGTCAACACTCTGCCGAAAGTCGTTGGTTTTCCCCGGGTACTCCGGTTTCCTCCCACATGGAAATTGACAGGGTGGGTTAGGTAAAAAGGGCCCACAGTAATTGGCATATGCTGTTGTTGTGACCCTGTCCCAGTTGGCAAAACTAAATAAATAAATAAATTTGTTCCGAGACCCTCGCCCCTGTTTAATATGTTAACTAATTACAATGGTTAATATTCAAAACATTATAACTGCTGCAAAATTGATAAAGAAAAAAATACCAACATTTCAACAACATAAACTAACAGAATCTAAAGTAATTATAGTGAAGGGAATTTGGTGAATTTTAGGATTCTAGGACGAGATATTTTTAGGATTCTTTCAACTGGTTTTCTAGAATTTTACAGTAATACATTGCTCTTTTAGATATTTCTGGGTGAATTATTTATGTACATGACATATAAACCACTTATATTTAATACAAGGTCAAAGAATAAAAAGCATAGCACAGAAGAGTGAAGACAGACATGTCATTAGTCCTGCAGGAATGAGGTTCTATGTTTTCATTTCATTAAATAGGGCATCACAAGTATTCTGGCGGTGCATTAGTCGTGTTTATTTTTCAACATGTAACTATAATCACACAGATCAAAATCACATGTCAAAAGGTTTATTTTTGTAAGGGTATTTATATGAACTCAAAATCGTCTACATTTAGTTAATCGATTCTAATTATGGCATTTTCAGTCACCATTCGTCTGTTGTGGTGCCTGAAAGCCTGAAAGGATTTTCCGCTGCGGCTATCTAAGATCAACATTGACCCACGGAAACATTAAAACAGATATCGAATAAAGGTTTCCCAATTAGAAACGGAGTGATACTAATTTAGAATATTGTTTTGCACTTGCGAATTCTTGCAACGTAATATCAAAACAAATTGTAAGCTTCTCGATGCCGATGTCAAGAACAGAGTAAAATCAACAAAACTACACCACAGAACTCAATAAAACGATGCCGTTCTGTTCGACCTTGGTTGAAGCCCGGTCGACATTCGGTAATAAATAGCACAACACATAGTGTCGACGACATTACATTTTGACGGAATAGAAATATTCCAACTGGTAACACCTAATACTTAACAAGAAACCACAATGACTTCACACACAAAAGAATACAAAACAGAGCAATTACATTATTTTACTCTGTGTCACACTAACCTTAGACCTTGTCGACGGTGCTATGTGTTTCCTTGTCTGCCGGTCTTTTATTCCATCCAAAAGACGAATAAGCATAATATTTCCTGGTAACTCGTTCACATTCTCAGTGACAAGACGGCGACATTCAGGACAACGTAGCTCTTGCCTCGAAGCTACGATAGCTTTTAAACAGCCTTTACAAAACGTATGTTGACAGGGTAAAACCTTGCATGTCTCATCCAAACGTTCAAGACATACAGAACAATCAAGTCCTTCGATAATTGCCAAAGCATCCATAGCTACTGCCACTAAATATGCTTGCTTAATAGTTAATACTGGTCAGATGGCAGATGCAGAGCATTATCTATATAACATAGACAGCACTCAAGCCGATTTCCTGGCTGAGTAAAAAGCTATAGAGAATCGCCGACAATCATACTAAAGAATAAAACGTTGTTCATGTAACAATTCTCCTTCAATTGGCTGGAAACTGCAACAACCAAATCTACAAATTATGTAGCACTGTGTGACTGTGTGCAACAACATTAGCAGTGCTACAAATGTGATCAATGAACAATGCTGCGTATTTGATATGCGCCCGTGTTGAACATGTACCGCAACGCATGCGCATCGCAGCCTTTTGTAGCAGAAAATGAACAAACATTTGACAATCATCCAGTAGTGGCAGTACACCACCCACCACAGTTGTATCTATTAAATTCAGTTTACAGCATTGAACATATGACTGAACTGGACCAACTGGTTTACAATAGCTATCAAATTGTTCAAAATGGATGTTTCACATTTCACAATTATTTTGAATTGCATGTGTGTATACATGTTTATATATAAATGTATAGCTATTATAAGTAAGTATTAGACATGACGTGCACATAAAGGCACGTGCTCTGTAAATAAAGGATTCCAGAGGCCCTGTTAGAGGGGGGTCTGAATAATCCATAATCCTAGCAAAAATTTAAAAATAATCCGTATTTAAAGGTGATCTACAGTCCGTATGTGAACAAAGCCTTTGTTTACATTTTTGCGTCCAAAATATTGAGCTTTATTCGACAACTATTTATATTTTCAAGCTTCTAGAGTATAATAAATGATCAAGAAACAACAATCAGGCTTTGCAAGAACCCAAAACATAGTTAAACTGTTTGTATCATAAAAAGTGGGCTCCTTTGTGCACATGCGCAGATCGGACTATAGATCACCTTTAACAATTTAAAGAAATGTGAACAGTCAAATTATACCACACGAGATCAAGTGACACTCGAATGATTCATGCGTGTGATTCATGCATGTCACATACACACGTATTAAAATTAAAAACGCACAAGTTGTAACTCAAAGCTGTTCCAGCCATAGAGATTATAAATAACACTAGAGGAGGCATTGTAATCTTAATTCAGTAAAAAAAAGGGAACGCAGCTATTGGGGGGCAAATTCAAGTCCCGGATGTGTATTCGTGTTCCCATTGGTGACGAGTTTCAAATCAGCCAATGAGAGCACGATTTTATATCCGGGACTTGAATTTGCCCCCCATTAGCTGCGTTCCCAATTTTTAAACTCGATGCCTCCTCTAGTGTTATTTATAATCTCTATGGTTCCAACAACTTGTCAACAGGATGTGTTCGCACTGCTTGTTCCCAGCTCAGGACCGTAGCGAGGGGGTATTGGGGGGATGGTTAACCCCCCAACTTTTTTAGAATTAACATATTCGGAAAATCAGGAAATGGCCAGTTTTAGAGACTCTAAATTTAAAAATTTCCTCGGGCCTTTGGCCCTCGTATTCAGCCTCTCCCCCCGATTAAAAACAGCTTCCTACGGAACTGCCTTCGTGCCTTCGTATGTCATGAAAGATTCGGGAATTTTTTCGTCATTCGGAAATTTTTGCCCGACCCCCCCTCCCTCCCCTCCCAACTATACATGCTAGCTACGGCCATGTCCCAGCTTGTTGACAAGTTATCAACAGCTTGTTGACAACTTGCTACAAGGTTGTTGAGCTCAACAGACTTGTTACAAGTTGTTCCAACAACTTGATATCAACAATTTGTCAACAAGTTGTGAGTGACAACCTTGTAGCAAGTTGATAAAATATCAGCATTGTTACAACTTGTAGACAAGCTTGCTACAAGCCTTTTGCGAACACATCTTGTTGACAAGTTGTGAGATTTTTACGTGTGTACGTGTTTGCGCGAAGATCGCGTGTGTTCCATCTCAAATGTGCGAAATGGTCAATAATTAAAATTTTCAGCACCTTTTAATGGTGTCCCCAGTATAAAGAAGATATTGATATTGAATGGCATCTTATGACCTCTTACAAACTGCAAATTGTATCTCTTATTTTTATTTTCAATAGCAAAAATGGATGATCTTTGCATATCATTAATAATCCTAAAATCCTATCCAAATAATCCATAATCTTTTTTTTTAACCAGCAATAATCCGTAATCCTGCCCAAAAATGCCAAATAATCCGTAATCCTAAAACCCTAACAGGGCCTCATTCCATCGGATCAAATCTGATCATCTCGAAGAATTAATTGAATGTTAAACGTCCGTATTGTGTGCTTATAACAGTAGAATTTATTGTTTAATATTTGCTATATCTACTGTGTCCTTGTGTTGCATTCCTGTATCATAGAGAACACAAAAAGTTACTGCTTACTTTTAATTAAGTTGGATGAAAACGTAAACTGAATAAAATGAAAACACTAATTGGCAGTGTACTGTATATATACATAGAATATAGAGCCAGTAGGCAGTAGTAATCGGAAATTCAGTATACGTTAAAACAGGTGCTGGCACTTAGTAAACCAGCTATTTTCTCATGTACGAGACTCGAGTAGATAGCCATATACATAGCATTAACAAGCTTTCGTTGGTAGGGATGCATGCAACTATATCTGAAAAATATAAGTATAAATATAAGTATGAAAAATGAAAAATATAAGATCCGCCTCGAAACGTCGAAATTCTCCTTATATTTTTCAGGTAGTTGCATCCCTAATATTATTGGCACTACCTACACTGGCACCGACAGTTCAAGATTATATACATATATAGTATTGCATGATTTACAAGAAATATCCGATGTCCATACGTGAATCATGCATGTAACCAGCTTTTCTCGTCTCAACTGAATGCTGGGAATAGTCTATAGTAAAATCACAACAAGATGTGTTTTTATTTTTTATGTTTTCCTCATATTGGCCCATAACCCTGCGTCGATCTGCGTGTGAGACACTGCCCACTGGAATTATTGTAAACCTGCCGCACACGAGAGCAACTTGCTGAGCTAACCGCCTCGCGTGGCAGCTAGCTCAGCAAGTTTCTCTCGTGCATGTGCGGATAGTTTTCGTGAGGAGTTTGACCTCTCGAGGCCTTGAGGAAACTATCTATCGTGTTTGATATTTTTCACCTGGCGAGAAAAAATTTCGGCGTCTCCGGATGTTGTGAGCTAAGTGCTGAGCTGCTTGAATCAATTAACCAATGAGAAACCATAGTTTCTTCATGTGACTTAGAACAAAATATGGAGGAAAATGCAAATGATTTTGTCAATTATGTTGTTGTTGAGTAGTTTTCACAACGTATGCGGTGAAAATACCTAGCTGAGCTAGCTGCCACTCGAGGCGGTTAGCTCAGCGAGTTTCTCTCGTGTGCGGCAGGCTAAACATTCAAATCAAGTATTCCGGAACGGCATATCTGTTTTGTATACTACTTGAATACTGTATTATTTAAGAGGAGATTTTTTTGTATGTTACGTAACACGCGCTCAAAACTAGTGCGTATAATATATCGCTTGAGGTTATGACTAAATTCAAAATTTTCAAAACGTTTCTCAATCGGCAAACAAACTTAAAAAGTATGTTTAGTGCTTTATCTGTAAAATAATGCCAAAATGAAGAGATTTTAGATGATACGCCAAAGAGAAAATGATGTCTGAAGTTCAGTAAGTTTTGCTTATATGGTTATAAATATGGCGTCAATTTTAAAGCATCATTGATATTTGTACTTTAATTGACAATTTTTAACTATTATTTTATGTTTCTCAACCGGCAGATGCATTTAAAAAGGTAGCTAACTCTATAAACTAGAGAATAAAGCTAAAACAAAGTAATTTTGAGAGGAACGCCAAAAAGATTTTAGGTCAGTTTGAACACTTTTCATTGCAAAGACGTGACAATGAAAAAAATTGCCTCTTAATAAAGTCACAATTAAGGTATGCATGGCATCATCCGCCCCCTAATGCCAGATTTAAATAATCTTACATTAAGATGAAGTAATATAATATATGTTAAGAGTGTTTACTTCACAAAATAATGGCATGCTATATGACTGTAAAAGGGAATTGCCATGGCCATGATCAAAACACTGTGGCAGGTCAGGACATGTAAGGACAGATATTAAGGTGGAGTGTCCATCACCACAAGCCTCCACGGCTGGAGCCTCAAGGTGACCACATCATTGTTGCAAACCACTCAAGTGTTTCAGTCACCTGCATGCACAACTGATCTTGCCGACGCTATTGTAGAGCATACAGTTGTGTCTGGTGTCATGGCGATGTCACTCTAGTCACCAATTTTGCGTTTTATTTTGTTTTAGACTTAGTCCTTATTTCCTTTTTATATATAATTATTTAACAAATATGTTTATATGACAAGTAAAAACATATACACTAGCTAAATTACATGGAACACCAAAATACTTAATTATTTTCATTCGTAAATTGAAAATTTTCCGTGCGCGACAGTGAGATCTAAGACGAAAACGCTAAACTGGAAACCAGGAATTAGAATGGGATTATATAGAACGGGAGTCGGAATGTGTTTCAGTTCAGAAAACTCAGTCTAGTTATACTGCATATTTCGTTTTAACTCTTTCTTTTCTAATGTCGTTCCCTATAAGGGAAGCCTCACATATCGATTTTGTCTACGAGAAACGTCATATGTTCGTTTGGGGGTGGGGTTGCAGCTGTGACGTTTCTCTACAAAACATCATGGAAAAATTCGATAATTTTTTCGAAAACCTTTAACATTTCGGAATCATCTTTGCAGAATATAAAAAAGAAAACAACTTGATACAAACACCACTCACCAGTCTATACATTCGTAATACCATACCTGTTCTATACAATTTATATTATTACGCCTTCCTTGCATTGAAAACACTCAAATTTCAAGAAAAACGCGCTAAAATTGTCAACTGATATCTCAGGCAAAAAATTGTTTTGAGAAACATTGGAAATTTTGAAGTTCATATATTAATAAAAAAAACATATGCCAGCAGATAGCAGATGACATATTCCTCTCAGATAGCAGATGACATATTCCATATGTGCAGTGAAAATACATAGCCGAGGTAGCTGCCACGTGAGGCGGTTAGCTCAGCAAGTTGCTCTCGTGTGCGGCGGGCTTAAAGGGGGGTCTCCAGACAAACGAACATATCACGTTTCTCGTGGACAAAATCGATATGTGAGGCTTCCCTAATACTTATAGCCGTCAATGATGTTTGTATACAGATTACAGTGTTGATTGTGGAGTGATCGAAAGAATTAATATACGATCAGATAAAAAGAGCTACCACTGACATTCCTGCAATATCAGAACCGCATCACATTTTACACAACGGCCAAAGACCAAAGTAAAAGACAAAGAGTAGCTTTATGAAATTATGTGGAGTGCACGTGATGACTTGTTTTTGAAACGAACCATGCAAGTAAAAACAGGAAATATAGACTGCTTAATATAACATTATTCGAACGTTTTAAATTCTCTACATGCTTAGAAAATAGCTCAACATAAAGCTTTTTATCAAAGCACTCTGCACTGACAAAATAAAAGTCATAAGTGATATACAATAAAAAGGTCATCAGGGGTTCCAGCTAATGTTAATTGTTTTTCACCAAGTATGCGGCAGAAGTAATTATTACTAATATTGCCTTATTGGGCATTTATTTCGGCAACTGTGCTATATGAATAGGAATAGGCAAATATTACTTTCACCAGTTGCTTATCTAAACTAAAGACGTACTGACAGCGGTGGCCACATCTTTTAAAAGGAGACTTCTCCATGCAATAGACTATTGCATAGTGTATACAGGCACCTTCCCAATCACGGACGTAGTTTCCATCTCCCAACAAAATTCTCGTAAACCTGACGAATGACACATTCTATGCCAAATACAGATCCTACATTTTAGAGAAGAAAAACATAGTGTTGTGCAACATTTGAATTCGTGACTCTTTTATTCTATTTTTAATTTACTTCGCCCATATATCCCATAAGGCATATACGTTTAAGTAAATCCCATAAACCTGTAATAAGACATTGTCAACGTTCAAGTGTTCCGGAAAGTCATATGAAATATTACTGTATTTATCTCAGTCTATTAGTTTAAAACTAATACAAGAAATGGCAAACGAATTTCTATACAATAGAATAGATTATTAAGGTCGCAATTGGGTATGCATTGCATCATCCTCCCCTAATGGCTAATGCATGCCAGATTTAAATAACACCACACGTTAACTAAGTCTCAGAGTTATGAGCTAAGAGTTTTAACAATTAACTGCAATCTGCATGCATTATAATATGACTGTAAAAGGGAATGGCCATGATTAAAACTATCACTATTGCAAGTCAGAACATACAAGGACAGATATTAGGGTGAGGTACGTTCATCACCACAAGCCTTCTCGGCTGGATGCCTGAATCAAACATCCAAAACCACAAGCTACTGTATAGTGACTAAATTATTGTTGCAAACCACTCAAGTGTTCTCAGTCACCCGCGTGCACAATCTTGCTGCCGCTATTTTGTGGCACACACAATTGTGCTTGGTGTGGCGATATCACGCTAATCTTCATGAGAAGCATGAGAGTTGTCAATATTGTTTATCATGAATCATTCCATGTGATTGAATTCAGAGGTGCAAGACTGATAGATTATTCTCATACGACGGCACTCTAAATTAGTGATGATATTTACATGTAGCATGCATATTTATCGTTTTGGAGTAGTTCAGTATACGTTGAGGTGACGTTGAATAGGAATGAAGAAACCATGCAGCATTCACTGAAAGCAGTGTAATTGCATGTATAAAAACTACATATAATTCATCTATATATAGTACTAGTCCTATGCATGAAGATCAGAAGATGCATTGCATGGCCAACTAATAAACCAAGAATAGTGTAATGATGTATTGCAATATGGACGGTGATGTCGAAGATGAAATTTAACGGAATACTATAGGAATGTGCTTCTTTCCAGTCGCTAGATTTATGAGAACATCAGTAAAGATAGAGCACAAAATAAATATATTGTTTTCATGTCATATTTATTTTCCCAGACAAACTAATTCTAAACTGATCGCTCATGATCAATAACCGATTATCATCGGGCTCATTCATATACCTCAGATACCTAAAACACTCATGCACCAACTCATTCTCATGCAGAGCCTTTGTAGTGCAGTGTTGATTGGGAATTAAGGGAAATGAACTACAGTCACAGTCTAAAACTAAACAGCTAGCAATATCATGGCTAGCAATATCAAGCTAGCAAGACAAAGAATAGCTAATATACGCGTGACGAGCGAGATCACTAGTTTTAAAATGAACGAACATGTGCATGGGCAGTAGCAATTAAATTTTTCAGTACTTAATTAGAATTGAACACAATCAAAACAATTTTTAAAATATATAACGCGTGGGATAAAAAAAGTGTGGGGGAGGTTCAAGCCCATGTTTGTTTTACACTATGCAAAGTGCATGATTTGGCAGGAGCAATCGACAACTGCATGTATGTAGCTACACCATGTAGTGACGTATGGACAAGCCCGCGGGTTTCGATGTTGCTCGTTTGATTTTCCAAACAAGAAAAACGTTGCCATGTATCTTTCGGAATATATAATTATGTCGTTGTTTACCTTTTTCATGTCGCTGTCACTGTTTAGACAGAGTTTGTTAGTCGTGCTGCTCTTTTTTGTACTCTTTGTAATTCGTCAGTACGTGTATACTATTTATGCATGTTGTACCACACGGTCGAGCAGTAAGTGGAGTAGGGAAGAACTATAGGGAGTTATACATCGTAATTATGTGAGCTTATGTGGACGTTGTTTTGTAGCTCTTCGTAACAAAGTGATATTAATTGTCAGTTTGAAATTTTCTCACACTGTCACTGACACCTGCCTATGGCATGGCTGAAATGCTCATGCCATTTAATTATTCACCTATGGCTATGGCTTTACTACCACGCCTATTTAGAAATTCATTGTTTGCTACTCTTTTTATTTTTTTTATCTCCAATTAGTTTAGTTTGTTATTTTTTGCAGATCTTGCACGCAAAATCTATCGCCCTAACTAATCAAGTCACAAGGGATCGGAGTTGTTACCGTGTTTTTCTTGACATACCGTAAACCTCCGACTATAAGCCCTGGGCTTATATACTTTCGTAAGCGATTTTTGATGGGGTTATACAAGGGGCTTATATACGAGTGGGCTTATACATGGACGATCTATTGTGTTAGTAATAAACAAGTCAGACATAAACAAGTCAGTCATAAACAGGGAGTAACCGTGTATTAAGCAGCGATTACTGGGCTTATATTAATTGGGAGACTTATATTCGGGTGGGCTTATATTCGGGGGAGCTTATATTGGAATGAGTGAGCGTTGGAAGAGTCATGTTATTGGGCTTATACAGGGCTTATATTTGGAATGGGGTGAGCATTAGTACATGTGGTGGGCTTATACACGGGGGGGGAAGGGGGGGTGAAAATTTTCAACTTCAAAATTTTTTTCCGACGGAAAATTTGTGTCGGCCAATCACATTTTACAAAATTTTCTTTCTGCGGAAAATTTTCGTGAGTGGAAATGGGCCTATAGCAAGGCTGTATGCATGCTAATGAAATGTCATGCATAGTAGACAGTCGGATTCCTCATTGATAGTCGGACACATCATTGACCCGCGCCCTTAAAGTCCTTAAACAAAACATTCAGCGGATACTCTTCTTATTAGATGCGCCTTCCCAGTGTGTCTTGCGCACGCAATCGATAATTTCAAGATGTTGTATTGCTTGGTTGAGATGTCAAAATCTGAGCAGGACACATTGTGGCTTCATACATCTTGTGTGGTGATGACATCTGACATATTTTATTAAGTTATATTCGCCATTCCCACTTGCTTTTCTTTGCTTTTGTAACAGTTTTTTGTAACTCTTTTCGTTGCTTCTGTAATTCTTTATAAGTTTCATTGTTTTCGATTCCATAATTTTGAAAAAAAACACATTGCAATATCTTCCGGAGCGATTGGAGAACGAGGATCCTACTAAAAATATATGTCTATCTAGTGATTATATACAAGAAAACATGGTATTTTAGCGAATCAAAAACCATTGACGTGCATTGTCGTGGTGCAAAGATGTCTTTTCCCATCTTCTCAGGCATCTTATTTTGGGAAGCATGCGCGAAAAATGTAAACTATTATAAGTTGTAGAAATGATTTTTCTCTTATTTTCTGATGATACATATGTGAAACGTACAGAAGAAGTTAGAACAAAAATATAAAATAAAAAAGTAGGGTCACGGATCTTCTTTAAAGAGATGCAAGGGTTAAACATGCAACATGATGCGGTTTAGTTGCACAGGGAGCCCTATAGCCAGAGTTCTGTCATTTTTGAAGGTACATTTCCTAAAGCATGCCTAATCAATGCACAGTGTTTTTCTCTTTGCCTTTATTCTTTCTTTATCACTTTACATTGCAGTTCGACTACATATATTAGATAGAATTTGTTATTTGATATGAGCAGTAAAAGTGCGCAATGCAAAATTGACGAATCATTGGAACCATAATTGTATATGCATGGCATGTTCCTGTCTCTACTAATGAAAAATGTGTTCCATTAATATTATAAATTTACATTATCTTTAGGCTATAGCATGGTATTCTTTAATATATGGTTATAGAAATAAGCAACAATTATTATACAACTGACATCGCATTTCATGTTTTATTTCGGTGCCAAATCAAAGACAAATCATTATATTAGATAATATATTAAATCGAATTAGAGAATGATGACCAATTAACTTGTATACATGCATTCTTAATATATACATTTAGCTTACGTAGCGGCTCTCAGGGAAAGGAGAGCCTGCACGAAACCCCATGCTTTGCCGTTTTTACTCGTTCTCCAAGAGAACGAGAAATCTGATTGGTTCAAAATGAAAAATATGCTAATTTATGCTAAAATAATCATTGATTGATAGCGTGATTGTGAACAAACAAGGGGGATGCATTTGAGATTTTGAGAGGTGTCTCTTGAGTTTTGCATTCTAAAGACCTTAAAGGCCACGATTCACATTTAAGGATGAACAAAAAAGGTGTTTACGAAGAGACTCTAGAGATAGTGACTGTGGTGTTTTCGTTGGATTGCTGTCTGTTAGCCGCGTCTCTTTCACGAGCGTGTTCGTTTTCACCGACGACAAATAGATTTTTTCATGATGATTCGTAGCTAATAATTTTGTGCCAGGAGAGAATTGCTGTGAATGCTTACGAACAGGACTTGCTCTCTCTGGAGTGACGGCTTCAGACACCTTTCTCTTGCCTTCATCGCTCGAAACTTTGACATTTACATCACGGTTGACCGCTGACGAAACTAATTTGTACGTATCGACGAGGTTTTGTATCTTTCTCGCACACGGACTGCAAGCTACTTGTGACGACGATGGAAACTGCTTTTGCGCTATTCCCACAGACTTCAATATTCTTTAGCCTACATCCGTATGTTATTTCGTTTTGAAATTTGCAAACGTCTTGCAATCTATATTATTTAATTTTGACAAGTAAATTTGAAAGCGTAAACAATCTGTGTGATTGGCCAATTTTGACATCTGTTGAAAGTGGGTGTAGCGCGCAGGCCAAGTGGGCGGGATTGGCAAAAAAAGTAGATCTCCTTTCCCTGAGAGCTGCTACGCAGGCTATTTTTCTATAAAGCGCTATTGTTGATTACTTCCATTATTGTTTAGTATCGCTGGTAAGATGTGATCGATTCTTACCTCTCCTATAAGAGGAGAAAAGAATATTTCTTCAACTTTCATCGAACTGATTGTTTTTATTGCAGGCAGTCGCAGCAAGATTCTGGCAAAACGACTTTGGTTTGATGAGTGGCTTTCCCTGACAAATTCTTGAAGTTCACTTTGAGCCATTTCTTGCATCTGCTCCACTTCTTGTACACCAGTTAGTCCCGAAGCATCTGGAAATAATCATATAATTAGAACAGACCTATAGGTGCTGCTGCATTGTAACACTGTTTGACTATAACGTATACTACAAGTTATAGTCAAACAGAGTCAAAATGCTTGCTATACTATATATACTATTCCAATAGCGTCTTATTAAAAAGTTGTTGGTGACGTATCAGTGATATCACCTGTTACTAACGTGACATCATCATTGTTATAACTTGTGTATATATACAGGCTACAACTGGCTAAAACTAACACTGGCTACAACTAACACTGGCTACAACTAACACTGCCAACATGCACGTCAATTTGCGATTCAGTGAAATATTTAAAATGTACGTTTATTTTTTGTTAATTTTGCTGTGGTTGCAGAACGTTACTATGCATGTAAATGCTGTGAATTAGAGTTACTTTAATACTACGAAAACTACAACATATATCAGTAAAAAAATTGCATACCAGGATTAAAAAGGCAAATAAACTTTAACAAGGCAAATTCTGTTGCAGTTAATTCGAGTCTCTCTAAGGTAAGAAGCAAGTCTTTGACTTTATTTATGTGCTCAACCTGAACCACGTCCGTTTTGTCCAATTCACTGCCAACCTTCTCTATATTCTGTTTCATCAAACTCAATGTAGCCTCCAAGGGACAGATTTTAGCACATTGAACAAAGCTTAGCAGGAATATATCTGTCCAACAGTTTCTCAGAAGAACGACTTGGTCACTTTGATTCAATGTTTTGAAGGAATGTGTGAATCTAACCCAGTCTATTGAATGAAAGAGAAGTCGCGTAGCAAGCTCGTAAACATATTCCATTGTCAGTTTCTTGTCTTCAGGAAACTCCATATTAAAGCCAAAGTCGCAATTCTCAGCCAATTTTGATTTGAATGAACCAATTAATGCCAACTGATTATCTTTCAGCGTTGGCCGACATCTCTCAACTTGAACAGCTGAAATAAAAACACGAATGTTACACTGGAAACAACACAGAAAATTTTTTTGTTTCTTTCCCATACTATATTTTTAAATTACAAATAATCAGTGCAGGTCTTTGCTACATATTACATATCATATATTAGAATATTATACTGCACGGTACATTATTTTGGCAATTATAGAAGGTATTCTTGCAGGTAAAAATGCTTTTAAGGCAGGTTCATCTTACACTAGCCTAGCGCAATTTCATTGCTCATACCCATGATAATTCGAGCACATCTATTTTGGAACTTTTGCAATCTTTGTGATCGAGTTCCAACAAAAACGTCGCACACGTCACAATTACAATAAATAGAGTATGGTTGTACGATGGCATAAATGGAAACAAGTATATCTCGGTCAAGAAATATTCTTTTAGTTTAAATACAGTTTTCACATAACAGATATGTCTGCATGCATGGCACGAACAATCCAACATGGCTACTGTCGAATGCACTGCTGTTCTTTGTCGTCTTTTAGGGGCTGTTCAAGCCAATGAAGACCCTAGTTCTTTTCATAACTCTTGCACGGGACTTCAGAGAATTGACAGCCCTGAAAGTAACCGCAACAGTCAGCTTTCATCGACCAGTACGAGTAAAAGAAGTGTTGGTTTTATGTGTTGTGTTCCTGGTTGTTTTACCAACAATAAAAGAAATCCCGAACTATATTCTGTTATAAATAAAGGAGTTATATTCTGTGTTTTTATTGTTTATGGTGGATAATTCGATGAGATTTTCATCCGGGTCAGTAAAGATGTTGTCAAAGCCATATGGCTGAACAAAACACAGAAGGCAATAGAAAGAGCTTCCAAAGCAGCAGCTGGAGTTCTGCTGATTGCAATGAGATTGAACAAGGTCTCAGATCTATGTGAAGAGAGTATTACAAGCACACATTCACAAAAGTGTGACACAGGCCTGCCAAGGTGTGGTGCATAAAATTAGGGAGATTACAATATGTGATTTTTCTGCGTTGACGCGAGCTGACAATAAACATGAGCTCAACAAAATCTCTAGCGGGGACTAAGAGATTGCTGTGAGCGCTTTGTTTACGAGAACCTTGAAACTAAGACTGCATTCAGAGCACTCTTGCTCAGCTGTGCAACACATATCAATCAACATGCGTCTAGACAATTTGATAGTTTTTTGCATCTGCGAAGCAGATATATATGCTATCGCAAACGTGACCGTACCGTATGTTAGCACATAGCCATTCAGCGACGCGCTTATATAATTTAAGCCAATTTAAGCCAATCAGCGATTCGTTTACATCAATTGTTTACATCGTGCCCGCATCTAACCTGCGAACGGGCATACTTTAGCCACGGAAAAGAAAATGGACCAGAAGCCTCACTGTATATCTTTTCCTAACATTTTCGTGTCCGCGATTTTCGCCTTGCGGATCACGAATTTCGCACGCTAGATGACGTGTGTGACACTTGCTGCGAACATCACGTCAGCGTTCGTCAGCAAAACGGTTAAAACAGCAATCTTTATTACCTAGTGATGGCGTTTGATGGCGTCGTGATTACACTTGCTGGCTCGCGCCTGCGCATAAAAAATCTCGGACATAATTTTGGCTAAGTGAGGCTTCTGGTCTATTTTCTATTCTGTGCTTTAGCCTCGTCAGGCCTCGTGTATAAATCGTGTTATTCTTTCAAAAATATCTTGATATTTTTATCAATTTATCTTGAATTGAAGTTATTTATCAACATGGAATCTTATCCTCATCTGGTAAGTAGTCAAATACCACATATTATATATTTAAATACCAAATTGTGCAAATATATGTCCCACATAGGCCTATTTAATAATACATCTGTTCGCCAGTTCGGCAAATATTTACTATACTATCTATAGTTAATATTGCCACAGAATAAAGAATTGATATTGCCGTATGGCAATGGAATGCACTCTGGAATTTTTTTATTAATATATTACACTTTATAAAATATTGGATATTTTCGAGGATATTTTAAGCCATTTGTCAACATTGACAAAAAGATTTATACAGTATTAAAAACAATCCTTCTGCGACTTCTGTATGAAAACATAGCAGGCAATATTGCCAATTAACAATATCAAAGGAACCTATTGAATTTTACCTATTGAAAGGAACCAAAGGAACTGTATATTGACTCCTAACAACAGTCGATCCAACTATAAAGCTGTCATCAAATGTAGTGTTAGAGCAAAGGTTGAAGATGTTATCAGTTAAAATACTTATACATTTTGGTTTTACACATTAGAGTTAATTAAACAAAATTTTTACAAACATTTTCAAATAAAAGAATCCTCACCCTCCCGAGCCTCATTACATTGTCATTTTGCTTTCTAACATAAATATTTTTCTTTAGAGATTAATACAAGAATGAAGAATAAATGTAATGGATATTGGCTGGATAATTTTGTCAGAACAACCAACTTGCAAGACAATCTTACCTAAATTCATTAGTATGGAAAATAACTTAACAGCTACAATGAATAATCATATATTATATGGTGGATTTGATCAATGGCACACAATGTACAAAACTAAACTTGTGATACCTTCTACTCAAACCGATAATCTCCCACAACACAATTGTTTTTGTGTGAATGTGCTGTATGTGTTAAACCGAACAGTGTGGTATATCATTAACTGTGTACAGAACTGGAATTTAATTATATACTTCACTCATGACCTTCAAAACATTCTCAATTATTCAGTGGTTTCGACATGTTCACCAAATATTTTGTGTATGTTACTCAACAGTTAACATTGGCAAGTGTAAACAACAAGTGACATAACTTTTGCTTCATATGATTACAATAAAGTTTTAAAAAATTGGTGAGTATGGATTGAATTGACAGGTGACAGTTTACTAAATAGCCGGCTGTATAGACACTTTGAATATTGTTTGCATGAAATTTTTATTTCCTGACTGCATAATTATCTGTTACAATCATAATCACATTATAAAGTTAGTTAAATTTTCTCGGTGTGGGGGTGGGGGGTAGCACTTGCCCTGCTGCACTCCCCGCTGTATACAGCCCCTGTTTTAAATCTTGTCTGCCATTATAATAAGTGATGAAATATTTCATTTGTCCCATGTCATCTTCATTATTCAGTTTCTTTCAAGAAAATACAAAATGTGAATCAAGTTTTTTCGCAGATACATGTACGCGTCGCGTACCTATTTTTTCTGTTAGCACTCCAAACACTACTTTGTTGCAGGTAAAACACAAGGAATGCGGGAGATTTCTTCAATTGTCTTCATGTGGGATTTGGCGGGATACTTGGCAGGTCTGGTGACACGGAGAAGAGTAAATGCGGCATTTAATGGAACTTTTCAGACAATCCCATATTCAGCATATTCGTACGTGTAAAGACTAAAGGAAGACCCGGACTTCACCTGATTTCTCCAGGGCTTATAGATCCCAAATGCTGACACGTTAGCAAGTACTAGCGCGATTCGCCGAAGCAAGAAAGTTGCACAGACGTCCAAAAATATGTAATGAAAGGGACTCTCTGTATACGGTGCTGTATGCATTATACAACACAAAGTTAGTGTTATACGCTAATTATGCTAATAATCGTTTCCGGACAAGACGAATGCAATGAAACTAAAGGCGGTTTTCCACTAGGCGAAATTTTTCGACCGAATCGAAATTTCTCTTTGTTTCATGAGTTCTCGAGCAGAACTAATTGTAAAAAGACAAAGAGAAATTTCGTTTCGGTCGAAAAATTCCGCCTCGTGGAATCAGGCCTTAACATCGGTTAACACTTGGCTATCTTTAAAACAGGGAATGGGGAATCCGGCCGGGAATCGGGGAATCCAGAACTGATAAGACGGGGATATTGGTCTGCTTGTTGGAAAACGCATTTGCTACTTTGTTTAGAATAATACAGACGATGAACATACAGTATACACTGCGGATCAGTTGTCTTACTATACTATAGCTTATGCTTATAATATATTATATATGTATAATAGCGCTGTGCACATATGCGATTTTAATAACATATAATTTTATTAATTTCAATCAGACATTAGCGCGTCTATAGAATTTTGTTCCAACGTGCAAGTTTTTTGAATTAATAGACTGCAAAATGCATGCATCATATACAGGAACCGAGATAGCACCAAAAGTCCACGTTTTATATGTTAAATATTAAAGCGAACGGGGCACAATTCCGCGGCGACAAGGTACGGTTTTCATTCTCGGATACTTTAAGACATTACTGTGGAGTTTAAAAACTCCAACGTCTGCTTAAACTAGCCTACAGACCCTAGCAGAAACACGTTTCGTGAGGGGTGTTAAACGTGTTTCTGCTGGGGTCTACACCGTAGGAATTAATAAAATTACAGCTATTTCAAGGTTGTCCCCCGAGCAAAGCGGAAAAGTCGAATATGAGCGCAAAAAGCTGAATGAATGAATTTATTAGCGATTCCCAGCAGCCTTTCGCGCTCGTATTCGACTTTTCCGCTTTGCTCGGGGGACAACCTTAATTGAAATAGCTGTATATGTTATTAAAATCACATATGCATGTGCACAGCGCTGTTATAATCATAATATATCATAAGGATAAGTTATTTAAGACAACTGATTCGCATTGTATACAGTAGCGAATGCGTTTTCCAACAAGCACACTAACATCTCTGTCTTATCAGTTCTGGATTCCCGATTCCCGGATTCCCCATTCCCTGTTTTAAAGATAGCCGTTAACACTTCGGTTGTCACTAGAAAAATATGAAATAACCTGCAACTACGGTTGTCACTAGAGAAATATGAAATAACCTGCAACTAGACAGCTTTTAAAACAGAAAAAGGCTAAGAATAATCTGTTGAGAACATGTCGAATACTTAATGTTCTGAAAATGATTATGCCGCGACAATTGAAAGTTATATCAATGAAAATGCTATGTGTTTCAAAGTGACAACCGATTGTCAACCGAGCATGTGTTCAAACCGTTTTATATTACATACATGTTTTTATGTTAAATATGCAAAATCTTTAAGTGATCTTCGATAACTTACCCTTACATTTAATTTAGCAATAACCTAGGTCGATAATTAACCAGATAGATGTGTTGTATCCCTTGTATATAGACCAGGTTTAGTCTCTCGGCATACTTCCCTCCCCACATATCACATCTGTTTATAAGCTCATTTATAATATATTGTTGGATTATGTTACATTTCAAAGATATTGACCACAACAAGCACAGTAAAGACATTTACATATACCAATACAATTCAGTAATTATGTTATACTAAATGCTATATGATTTTCGCAAAACTGATATTCTAAAACACTCGATAATTCAAAGAGGTTGAATATGCCTTTCATTGCCTTTCAGGCAATCAGTTTCAAATGTCTTGGGACAGATGCCACAAAACCTTTGAATTTCAACAAACGTCAATCCCCCCGCCCCCTGTTCAATGTTGTGTCCCATTTCCCGTCAGGTTTGATGTGTTTTGGTTTAAGCAACATTGATTGGGGTGGGGGAAGGGGAGCGGTATTGTGTGTAAAAAACTGTAATGATACACTTACAATCTAAAACTACATGTGTCCCAACAACTTCTGAAAGTGATTGTTGATAGGTTTCCCTATTCATGTCGACGAACGTTATAGATTGCCCTTTACTCATTTGGTCAAAATTTAAATTAGTGACCGGTCATTATTTATGGCAGGGGTGGGGGCCGAAGAGAAAATGGTGGGGTAACTGAAAAATAATACTTGCTTTAGGTGGGGTGGCCCAAAAATCCTTGCATGCAGAGGTGGGGTAAATTTTAATCACACACAACACAATATATACTACAAACAGAGTTTCAGTAATATGTGATTATTCTAATTTTTTTTTAATAAAATATTATTGCTTTCCGTAAGAGGTCATTTTATTCATTTACACACAAAATCTCCAAAGACTCCAATTATCAGACAAAAATATATACTGCCTAATATATAGGGGCTGTTTATATGGTGCAAGCCAGCCCTGGGGTACCCAAGCTGGCCCAGTTTTGGCGAGATCCTGCCTTTGTTGTTATTTCCTATTAAAGTACACCTTGTGTATATATGGGTAAAGAGCAGGCCCACCAATAGCTAAGCGAGATCCCGCCCCTTTAGCCCGAGATCTTGCTAAAGCTGGGCCAAAATTCGCCTTAGGAAAAGTGACCTACTGTAGCCCCTTAGCCCGCGGGCATCCAGACTCACCCCCATATATACATCCCCTTATTACATATCTCAATATATATATATATCTCAATATATATATATATCTCAATATATATATATATATATATATATATATATATATATATATATATATATATATATATATATATATATATATATATATATATATATTTAACAAATATAAAACATTTTCCGTGTTGATATACAGTTATATCAACACGAGTGGAAATTGGGAAAACGAGAAATTATGTGGAAACACGACGCCCGAAGGGCGGAGTGTTTTCACACAATTTCGAGTTTCCTAACTTCCACGAGTGTTGATATAACTATATATCAATACGGAAAAAATGTTTTATATTTGTTTTATAATATAGCAATGTCAAAAGCCCGAAGAATAAGAACAATTTCCGTGTTACAAGCGGCGGAAAATTTCCCGTGTTGACATGGAGTTATATCAACACGGCTCTTAGCCAATCAGCGTTCAGAATTTACAAATGCTATATTATAAATATATATATATATAGTCTATTAAATTCTGAGGATTTAATTTTTGGGCAATTTTTGATACTGTATAACTAATATCCGGTATATGCTTGTAAACCATATGTGGACAATTCAAGTAGCAAATCCTGAAATATGCCTCACGCCCCTTGTGAATCTGGAGAATCATTCCAATGGCTAGTTCATAATATGTTCATGCAGCTCAAACATTGTTCTGACTCTTTGGCAACTAGCTGTTTTTCTTTACTAGCAGACCATGTATACATGGATAAAATAAGAGAAATCTATTTAGGCCTATTTACCCGTTTTACATATTAATTTAATTGTTTATATAATCATACTTGGAATTCGGTTGATATATCTTTATCTTCACACTGTATAACAGCAACTTTTTCTCATTGATTTACGGTAACATCATTTTCTAAATTCAGATATTCTCACATGGGACATATACTTTAGTATCGTTGTATTGTTTACAAATTAAAATATTAAAATGATTTCATAAACTATAAGAATTTCGTCCGTGATAATTACATTGATTGTCTATAGTAAGGAAATTTAAAAGGAATTTCAGAAGAAATTTTAGAATTTAGATAGTTACAATCATAGGTAAGCACATATTCTGTGAAACTGTTTCAAAATAAAATTGCATTTTAATTAATAAGAAATGCATGCAAGAATGTGAAAGTAACCAAATTGTATACAGTGAAACTTTAAAGTGGGAAAGGGTGGTGAGATACGGTTAGTGTTTTAAAATCTTGAAATATATGCTGTACAGGTTTTATATCAGTGGTTATATATATATGTTTATGGGACTATATAGCTCACCAGCATTGCACTATCTCTTGAAAAGGGAATATAGCGCGTTGAATACAAACTATAAAAACCCAATCATATTTCAATTTAACAAGTATGTAAAAATTAGAGAAGTAAACTAGCGAAGTATCCCAATATTAAATGGCCAACTGCCAAGATTTTAGCATTCATTGATCCAAACCCCATGTCCCCCATAACATGCAAATTTGAATCATACAGTGCAGTTGCTTGAGTCAGAGTGCATGCCAGGATTAATATGAGTGAGCAATATAACTTCATTTGAATCTCCAGTCCAGAAATCCTTTAATTCTATTGGCATTTCCCTATGGGCCCACCCCAATTAAGGCTTATAACATAAATCATTATTTTATATTATGAATTTGCATTTCCATTGAAAGGAAACATACTACACAAATGACAAGTGACAAATTTTAAGCCTTCAGATAACTATAATTCTTTATATAATACCTTGCAATTGTAATGGTAACCCATAATAAGGCACACTGCTACAGTAACTATAGCGTGCCCCACATGACTGTTAGTGTGTTTTAATTACTCCACAAGAAATAAGGGGCAAGGGATATTGATAAACAAGTATCTTTACCAATCAATCCCATTCCCTTTTAATTATAATGGCCACTGTGGTCAAAGCACCCTACATGTATAATATTATTAATTACTGTGACCTGGTAGCACCCTACTGTGGTAGCACCAATATTGCCTTATTGGTCTATAAATTCCAGGAATCACCATTGTTGTAATGAGGTAAAACTCTAGCTACAATCATGAAAATTAATTCGTAGACTATCGAGTACAGAAAAATTTCCAAAATGTTCTCCGTCTCCCTTTACAATGTTGTCTTGTCATCCAATAATCACGGTGTGCTAGGGGGAAGTACTATTTCTAGCGATCATGGACGTTTGTGTTACTGTAACTAAGAATAGAATGGCTTTACAAAATTGTAAAAATAGTATTAAAGAGACAAAGGTTTAAAAAATATCTACATATATTATTTACACAATTGCACTTTACATTCATGTATTTTATAGTTAATTACAATTGTCTAGACAGACTGGGAGGGTAAGAGATATTAAGTATTATACTCTTGGCAAGGTTTCTCCACTTGAATGAAGATATATAAAATAATAATAATATATCTATTCCATTACACCATTACTGGTACACATAGGATATACTGTAATACAATATAACAGATACATACAAACAATAAAACTATAGCAAATCCTTAATTACAAAATGCAGATGAGGATGAGCCTTGATGCATTTTGCACAATTCCATGCAGCTATCGACTAATTTTTTATCTAGACAAGAAAGAGTGAAAGACGAAATATATCATTATATGAGCTCAAAAGAGCATCATAGTAAAATTGCAACGTTTGGTTGCGAAATGTTGTTAAATACGGAAATTAAAGCCCTGTGAAATTAGCAAATTTTGAATATTTTAGCATTACGTGCGGTAAAAATAACCATTTTTGAGCCGAAAGTGGTTATTTTTACCGCGCGTAATACTAAAATACTCAAAATTTGCTAATTTCACAGGGCTATATTTTCCGTATTTTACAAAATTTCGCAACCAAACTTTGCAATTTTACTAATTTTAGGCTGCTCTTTTCAGCTATTTATCATTTATAGAACCGGAGCGAGGAGGATTCGGCGTAATATTTCCCGAAGTGATGATATTTTCCGAGGGGCTTTGCCCCGAGGAAAATATCATCACTGAGGGAAACATTACGCCGAATCCCCCGAGCGGAGGGTCTACAAATGATATATTATACCGAAAGTTAAAGAACTCACTAAGTTCATATTGTTTCAGAGCGTGGTGTCCACGCGTCACGCGTGAGCGTGGGATACTATAATATCCCACGGTGGATCTGCCGTGGGATATTATAGTATCTCACGCTGCATTGCGAAATCATAAATTTGAGTGAAATACCGTAAAAAATCACATTATCACGTGGTACAAATGCTGTTTTTTCATTGGACAATTTGAATTTGAGGTATAATATAATGATATATTTCGTTGTTCTTGTCTAGATAAAAAACTAGTCGACAGCTGGAATTGTTTATCCATTAACCCAATTACATTCAACACTTCATGCAGGCCACCCTGGAAATGGTGTGCGATTGCATGTGTACACATTGTTTGTGACATAAAAATTGTCTACTTCTTTGTATTGCATTACAAAAAATCGATTATTTCAGAATATCAAAAATCTCCAGTGAATAAGAATTTCGGGATATCTGAAAACTCATGCCAATATACTGATACTGGATTCGACACAGAACAGCCCTGTCATCACATCCATATATGCTACTATTGATAACCAAGTAAAACTACTTGTACAAATACGTCACACAATATTATCACATTATCCATTGATTAACACATTAAATTAAGCTGTAATGTGCCCAAATGTGCCCTACAGTACTTTATTATTTTACTCTGTCTAATGCCAGATCATTTTCCTTGTCAGGGGAGTCTTCCAAAAGTCATCAGAATTTGCACCATATATAATGGGTCACTCCAGAAAAGATCCACACTTCCCTCACAAAGGAAATTTCTAACATCCAGAGGGAGAGGGGAGAAAAATTTGTTTCTAATGTGTATGTATTATAGGACATCCAAAGGGGATAGGGGGTTAACTTCAAATTTCCTCCATGGGGGAGGTAAGGATTTCTGGAAAAATCCAATTCAGAAATTGATATAGGAAAATAAAATGATCACGTTGCCATGACTACCATTTGACATGAGCCAACATTCAGTCAGTGCTTGGATAATTTGCAATACTTCATGTTGAAATAAAAGTGAGGGGTTGCTACATGTATGTATTTCTAGTTTACCCACTACTATGTGGAGGAGAAAGAAAATGTCATGTAAAGGAAGTGAAATGCCACTAGGTAAGGTACTATGCATTCTATTATTAGGCTTACCTTATTTGGCTTATTATTTTACTCTGTCTAATGCCAGATAATTTTACTCAGGGATGGATCCAGCATGATCTGGTAGGGGGGTGGGGTGCTCTGCCAGCTCTGGTGCCGAGTTGTTTCGGTCATGTGTGCCGCCCGCATATTTGAATTGTAATTGTTGTTCACAGTTCGCTTATCATCATGTTATTACTAAAATTACTGTATCTCATTCTGTCTCTAATCATTTTTGCTTTATCATGAAAAATAGCACACCCCTCTTTACCCCCTCTGGCCAGGGCTAGGTGGGGTGCACCCCCCAGTAAATCCATCCCTGATTTTACTTGTCAAAGGGAGAGTG